ACCAGCTCAAGAGGACGGGTTGTTTGGATGTTCACGAGAGGTGCAGCACGTTCAGGAAGGGACTTGCGGCGTATACATCTTTCACAGGTTTTTATTTTAGTTGCTATGTCAACAGCCATTCGTGGCCAGTAGAACCGGGAACGAACGAGGTCCAGTGTTCTTTCAGAGCCTAGGTGTCCCATTTGGTTATGTAACTGATTTAAGACATTAGCTCGGTATTCTTCTGGCAGCACAAGTTGGTACACTGTCTTTTCTCCCACCTGTCTTCTTCTGAAGAGAAGGTTGTTAAGGAGCTCCATTTTATTTACTTCTCGCAGTAAAAGAGGTAGGTCTGGGAGTTGCTCTCTGAGCAGTGGTGGTACTGATTCTCCGTGCTCCAGTTGTGCAACAATATGCTGAATGACTGGATCAGCTCGTTGTTTGGACACAAGTTCAGCAGCAGAGAGTTGTGGAAGTACAGAAGAGGTGAACTGTGTGTCATCTGTGAAACTGTCTGGCACACTGTCAGAATGTACAGACAGCGACAAAACCAGGGAATGGTCAGGATTGGGGTCTGGACTAAAAAGCAAATGACGGTTGAAGAGAGCACTGATGGTCTGTGAGTTGAGAAGTACACATGCTGGGTCATCTAAATGTGTTTGGGTGAATTTGAGTATACGTTCTTGTTCCTTCTTGGAAACAGAATCATTAATCAATTCACCATGGGGTCTACGGGACAAACCGTCAGCATCGGCATTCTGTTTACCAGCTCTGTAAACAATTTTAAAATTGAAAGTAGACAGTGCTGATAACCATCTATAACTTGTGGCATCAAGTTTAGCAGATGTGAAGAGGTATGTTAATGGATTACTGTCGGTCACAACAGTAAATTCTGCCCCATACAAATAATCATGGAATTTTTCACAGACAGCCCATTTGAGAGCCAGGAATTCCATTTTGTGAGCAGGGTATTTTGCTTCACTCTTGGAAAGTCCTCGGCTGGCATAAGCCACAACTCTATTAACTCTCTCTTGTTCCTGGTAGAGGACCGCTCCAAGACCAGTGGAACATGCATCTGTATGCAATATGTAGGGCTTCTGGGAATCTGCAAAGGCTAAGATGGGAGCAGAAGTGAGTTTTGCAATGATAGTTTCAAATGCTTCTTGACATTCTGTTGACCAACGGCCTCCAAATGGTTCTTTAGGGTTTAAATATGTGTTAGACCTTATTTTTGGTTTTAGTTTCTTTTGTGCTGGAGGGTAACCGGCGGTGAGATCATGAAGGGGTTTAAGGATGGTGGAGTATCCTTGCACAAACCTCCGATAATATCCAGCAAATCCAAGAAACGACCGTAGTTCTTTTAGGTTTTGGGGGACTGGCCATGTAGTAAGAGTCTTGATTTTGTCAGGGTCCGTTTCTATGCCCTCTTTAGAAACAACATGTCCGAGATATTTGACTGTCTGAAAGAAGGAGCATTTTTCAACTGACAATTTCAGACCGAATTCTTTCAGTCGATTTAAGACCTTTAACAGTCTTTTTTCGTGTTCTTCGAGGGTTGGTGCGAAAACAATGAGGTCGTCGATTAAAGCCAGGACTTCTTTTAGGTTCATCTCTCCCATGCATCTCTCCATGAGTCTTTGGAACGTGCTTGGAGCATTTGTCACTCCCTGCGGCATCCCGTTGAACTCATAGAAACCTAGAGGACAGACAAAAGCAGTTTTTGCCTTATCAGACTCCTCCATTTCAATCTGATAATAACCAGATTTTAAATCAAGAACTGAAAACCAGGTAGATCCAGACAGGGCAGAGAAAGTGTCCTCGAGTTTGGGCAGAGGGTAGGCATCTTTGATAGTTTGCAAATTGAGTTTTCTGTAGTCTATACACAACCTGATACTCCCGTTCTTTTTACGCACAACTACTATGGGGGATGCAAATGGTGATTCTGACTCACGGATTACTCCAGACTCCAACAGCTCCTGTAGATGTTGTCTTACGGCTTCAATGTCCTGAAGATGAATTGGCCTGGGCCGCTGTTTGAAAGGACTAGGATCAGACAGGTTAATATGATGCTTAACTTTATCTGTCCTGCCAAAGTCTAGGTCATGCTTTGCAAAAACTTCAGGAATGCTGTTGAGCTGGTCTGTGATTCGCTGTTTCCACTCAGGTGTTAATGGGGAGTCTCCAAAGTCATACTGAAATGATGAGCCATTTGTAGATGGAATTGAATAGCTGCTTTGTTGGTTGGTATAAATGGTCTGGAAAGCGCTGACTTCTGCAATGGTTGTTCGTGCTGGGATGGTAATGGCATGTTCAGACTCGTTTGTAATCAATACCGGCAATTGGCATGGCTGGCGAGGTGGCAAGTCAGCAAGACATGTCTTTACTATGAGACCACCAGGCAGGGTGCATGAAGTTGGATGTTCAATTAGAACAGATTTTTCTCCTTGCAGCGACCAAGTGGCCAGGGTACCCTCAAGGACAGTCGTTTGGCCAGCAGAGATGGTGTATGCCTCGGGAAGCTGCAAAGCAACATAATTGCCATCCAAATTACACCTCTGGCGATGATGAAGAATCTGGACAACAGCTTGGTAACCTGACGTAACAGGCTGACTGGGATTTTTGTCCTGAATCTGGATATAGGCCAAATCCAGTGTGTTAGTACCAACCAGAATTAAGGGTTGGGACTGCTTTAAGTCTGGAACCACTAGTGCTAATGTATCTATGGAGATGGTGGTACCCAGAAACTCAGGTGGAAATGTAATGTTTAGTTCAATGTAGCCCAAATATGGCACACATTGTCCGTTGGCCCTCTCTACTTCAAGGATGTTGTTCAGAGGTTGTATCGTATGGTCATTGAGATGTGCATTATAAAAGGAATGTGGCACTGTTGTGACCTGGGAGCCAGTTTCAAAAAGACAGTTTAATGCATTTCCTTTTATTTGTATTTGGCCAGTACATTTTGTCCCCACAAGGCCTCTTGGCAGGCGTGGCAGTCTGGGTGGTTCTTTAGGACAGCTTTTAGTTGCAGCTCCTGGGTGTCCCGTCACAGAAGCTGCTGCTAGTTTGACTGATTCTGCTTTGCGTTCCATGCTTGTTTTTGCCGCAGTTGTTTTTTCTTTTGGTCAACCAGGCGGGAGTTTGATGCGTTCTTACAGGTTGAAGAGATATGTCCATCCTCACCACAGTTAAAGCAATACCAAGGTTTTGGATGGTTTGATGACTGAGGTGAAGGGCAGCTGGACTGGCGTGGTGCTGGCCTTGACTCGATTTTCTTCTGGGCTTTCAGGAAGGATGACATCTGGCATTGGAGTTGCTGGATCTGGTTCTTCAGCTCTTTAAGCTCATCACTAGAACTTGTGTGGCCACATGAACAAGTGCTTTGTGACTGAATCGTAACCTTTTGCTTGGAAGAACTTGACCCGATGTACTTCTTCATCAGCAGCTCTTTTGCCTGTTGCCTGTCCTCTTCTGTGCGCAGAAGCAGCAGCAGTTCAGAGAAAGGTGGTGGATTGTCTCTGCGTTGTTCGAACTGCAACTTGGTGATAATGTCATTGTTCCAGCATCCACGCACAAATTGTTTCAGCAGTTGTCTGTCCATATCATTAGCATTCACTCCTCCTCTTTTCCATACAGTTGTCAGCATAAGCTGAAGCCGCTGAAGGTAAGATGATGCTGTCTCACATGGGTTTTGGAGTATGTTCAGGAACTGGGCATATAACTCTTCACCCTCTTGTACTGTGCCAAAAGCTGAATCTAGATGACGCAGTAGCACAGCTGGCAAAGTGTTAGGGCCCAAACCTTTAATCAAGTCAGCAGCAGGAACCAGCAAACTCTCCATGACATGCAGGGCAGAAAGGCTCGGGTCTGCAAGTAATAGTTCAATTTGTGAACGCCATGATTCATAGTCTGCTTCATTACTGGGCTTCGGAACACGTCCAGAAAATGAGCGAAGGCGTAGGGAAACTGGAGCAGTCAGGTCAGTGTTCCTCACTACATGTTCAACAACAACCCTCTGAATTTCAGGAGGATTGAGATCATTAGGGTTCAGAGAAAATCTTTGTGTAGAACCAGTATGTATGGGATCTACTTGATGGCTTTGGCGTGGTCGTGCCCCGAGTTGTTCAGTGCTTGTAGAAAGAGGGGATGGCTGAGAGGGTTGAGGTACAACCAATGGAGCTTGTACCTCAAGCGCAGCTGGTGCGGTGGTTAAACCGGTCATTTTGGTTTCTTCTGGTTCTGCATCCTCTCCATTTCCAGTTTCAATTGCTCCTTGTGTCTTCAAATGTTGGTGGATCTGGTCCATCACAGTTTTGAGGATGTGGTCAAAACTTGTCCCACTCTTTTCAGCCATTTCTTTAAAACTGTGGATGTAGTCAGGGATATGGCTGCTGCTCCCCGCTGTGGCAGCATACTCATCTTTGAGAGCAGTGACGCAGTACACGCGGTTAGCAGCAGACTCTGATTTATATCTATAGGGCAGAAGTGAACTTACAGCAGAAAAGCTACTTGCTTCTTCAAACTCAACGATAAGGTTTTTATAGAAGGTGCTTTTTGGATCAGAAACCGATAGAACTGTTTTAAGTGAGCCATGTGTGCGTAATATATCAAGGATTTCATTATCTGATGAAGTATTTGTTACACCTGAGATCAAAACAGCTTGTGCTATATTGATACCTGTTTGCGCAACAAAATCCATGTTTAATCAGAAGATTATTCACACCGTTTGACTCCTGGCTAGCTCGCCACTTGTAACACTTGAGCTCAGAAGAAGATTCGGCTGTAGAGTCAAGGGGTGTGAATAAGCACAAAAAAGAAAATTATGATTAATAGTTGTATATTTTTTTTCTAATAGAAAGAGTATGGGTTACATATACATGTTAATGAGCTATATTATATAATTTATATGGATATGAATTAATAGAATTACACACAAATGTGATAATCAATATAATTTCAAAGGAAAAAAAAAATATATATATATTCCAACAGGATAATTCAAAAGAGCAAAAAAAGAAATTAAACTCTTCAGTTCAATTAGTAAAAGGTTCACAGTTCATGAGGTCCGTTGGGAAAACAAAATCAGAGGATCCAGGTTTGTGAGAACTTTTTCCTACCACACTGTATCGGTGGTTCTCTGGTAGCTCGCCACCCAATGGACAGTCAAAGGAACAGCACACAACAAAAAAAACCTGACCTGAAATCAGGCCAGAATCATAAATTAGTAAAATAATAAACAATAAATTTAATCTTAGCAATAAATAAAAACAATAAGTCAGTTGGTTATGCCATAAATCACAGCACTAAGACACATCAAATAATTTAAATAATAAACAAGATTTCTTTATGAAGCTTCAATGTTTCTAAATATCTCAAGTTAAATTAAAGTGCACTTATTCAAAGATGAAATCATGGGTCAACAAAAACCCAAATTATTTCAACAGTTCCATTTTAATTGTATTGCGCAACACATATCAATAAACAGATCTATTTAAACAAAAAAGAACCATGGTTTCTAAGGCTGGAAAAGTTCCAAACAAAGTTCTATAATTAACCCAAAGCAATTCAATTCAATTCAGTTTATTTATATAGCGCCAAATTCACAACACATGTCATCTCAAGGCACTTTACAGTTCAACCAGATCATACAGTCAAATTGATACAAAGTTTTCTATCTAATGAAAACCAGTTGATTGCATTGACTCATTGACTCAAATACAATCCCCCACACTAAGCATGCTTGTAGCGACAGTGGAGAGGAAAAACTCCCTTTTAACAGGAAGAAACCTCCAGCAGAACCAGGCTCAGTGTGAGCGGCCATCTGCCGAGGCCGACTGGGGTTCAAGGAGACAGAAGCAGAGATACAAGAAGCAGCTGTAAAAGGCGGCCCCGTCCAGGAAACACACAGCCAGGCAGACGAGCTCCAAGGCAGCTCCCATGCCAGAGGACGAAGAGAGCACATCCACTCAGTCACGGTCAGAGAAACAGGACCACACTGGAAAACCGGCCGATCTCCAACATCTATAAACAAGGGTGTTGATGGAAGCAGCACAGCTGATGTTTCTTTCCAGGATGACGTCACAGCCAAACAGGAACAGACGAGGCAAAGCTACTCTGAGGAAAAGCAGAGAGAGCAGAAGGTTAGAGATTGAACTAACAGATTCTGCAGAATAGGAGAACAGAGAGAGAATGAAGCAGAATGATGAAATGGGGGTCCCTATGTCCTCCAAAAGTCTAAGCCTATAGCAGCATAACTATAGAGATAGCTCAGGATAACCTGAGCCACCCTAACTATAAGCTTTATCAAAAAGGAAAGTTTTAAGCCTAGCCTTAAAAGTAGACAGGGTGTCTGCCTCACGGACTAAAACTGGTAGTTGGTTCCACAGGAGAGGAGCCTGATAACTAAAAGATCTGCCTCCCATTCTACTTTTAGAAATTCTAGGAACCACTAGTAAACCTGCAGATTGAGAGCGAAGTGCTCTGTTAGGAACATAAGGAACAATCAGATCTCTGATATAAGATGGAGCTTGGCCATTTAAGGCTTTATATGTGAGAAGGAGGATTTTAAATTCTATTCTTGATTTAACAGGAAGCCAATGAAGAGAAGCCAGGATAGGCGAGATATGATCTCTCTTTTTAATTTTCATTAGAACTCTGGCTGCAGCATTTTGGATCAGCTGAAGGCTTTTAACTACAGTTTGTGGACTTCCTGATAGTAAAGAATTACAATAGTCCAGCCTTGAAGTAACAAATGCATGGACTAGTTTCTCAGCATCACCCCTGGACAGGATATTTCTAATTTTTGTAATGTTCCTCAGATGAAAGAAGGAAATTCTAGAAACCTCTTTGATGTGGGATTTAAATGACAGGTCCTGATCAAAAATAACACCAAGATTTTTTACTTTATTATCTGAAATCAGTTTAATCCCATCCAAATGAAGTGACTGGCTAATCAGTTTCTTTTTCAGAGACTCTGGTCCAAAGACTATAACTTCTGTTTTGTCTGCATTCAGGAGCAGAAAGTTAAGAGTCATCCAGGTTTTTATGTCTTCAAGACATGCCTGTAATCTATGTAATGGGTTAGCTTCATCTGGATTTATAGACAGATATAGCTGGGTATCATCAGCGTAACAGTGGAAATTAATCCCATGCTGTCTAATAACTCTACCAATTGGGAGCATGTATAAAGTAAAGAGAATTGGTCCTAGCACTGATCCCTGTGGTACTCCACAGGTAACCTTTGAGCGTGTTGAAGATCTATCATTAACATGAACAAACTGAATTCGATCAGATAGATAAGATTTAAACCAGTCTAGTGCTGTTCCTTTAATTCCAACAAAATATTCAAGTCTTTCTAAAAGAATATTATGGTCAACTGTATCAAATGCAGCACTAAGATCCAACAGGACGAGCACAGATACAAGTCCATTATCTGAGGCCATGAGAATATCATTAGTGACTTTCACCAGAGCTGTTTCAGTGCTATGATGAGCTCTAAAGCCAGACTGAAACTCTTCAAAAAGTTCATTATGGTGGAAGTGATCGCAAACTTGTTTGGCAACTACTTTCTCAAGAATTTTGGATAAGAAAGGAAGATTGGATATAGGTCTATAATTGACCAAGTCATCTGGGTCAAGAGACGGTTTCTTAAGCAGAGGTTTAATTACAGCAACCTTAAAAGCTTTAGGTACATATCCCTGTAACAGAGATAGATTAATCACATCTAAAATGGAGGAGGAGATCAAAGGGAATACCTCCTTAAATAACCTGGTTGGAACTGGATCTAACATACAAGTTGAAGGCTTAGATGAAGACAATAATTTTGCTAATTCAGAGAGTTCAACTGGATCAAAGCAGTCTAAACCCGGTTCAGATTCCATGACTACCTCAGGTACAATCGCGGATAGAGGAGTGCTTATGATCTTATTTTTAATAAGATCAATCAAAGCATAAAATAATGTATGACCAATACATTTACTGCTTGGGAAAAATCTTACTGCTTCTTGGTTGGGGAAAAGTTTCCCTCTGAATTAATCAAAAAAAAAAAAAAAAGTCTGAGTGAAGCTGTGGGCGTGTCTGGGAGCTATATTAACTACCCATGTTAGCATAGCATGCAACCGGTGTACTGCAGCATCACAAACTCAAAATAAGGAATAAAAATAATATATTTTAACTCACCGATGAGTAGATGATTTGAGAGAGCATATAGGGAATGTCCACCAGGTTATGAGTTGTAAATCTGCGGTATTATTTAAGTTATCAGTAAGTTTGAATGAACAATCAAGCATGAGTCAATAGATGAAAACAAACTTACCGAGTTGTAAGAAGCCAAAGTGATCTATGGTGAAGGCATTAGAGTAAATTAAGCAGCGGTGGAGTGTCAAAAACAGAGAAACCACAGCGAGGAGCAGCTGGGAGCAGCGTTGGCTGTAGCATCAGTGGAGCAATCTGTTTGGGTCAGGGATCCGCCCCCTTTTTAAAGGGACAGGGCGCACTACTCAGTTTGAACCCGGAAGTAGGGCCTTATGTGCTGTGGGTTACATAATCAGTAATGATATACATTATTTGACTTTCTTAGATGTCGCTGATAATTAAAATGGACCCTTTGCTTAATTAAACTGCATCATGAGTGTAAATGTTCACATTTCTTACCTGATAGAATTTAATTAGGAGCATAAGATGTTGGATGTGATTCTAAATCTCCAGTGACTGGAAATAAGCTCAGACACTTGAACTAAACCCCTGGATCTAAACTGCTTTCATAGTTATCTGATAGTATAAATGGGGCTATCGTTAAGACCTCTGGCCCTTTAAACACCAACAGATTCAGACATTTATAGCTCTTCATCCCTTTTTTTTTTTTGTCGTGTAGATCTCTCATCTACAGAGGAGAGAGAGAAATTCTCCTATCTGCGGTCGTGTTTTGTAGTTTTTTTTTTGTTTGTTTGTTTGTTTTGTTGTTTTTTTTAGCTACAAGATAAGCTGTGGCTAAAAATCAACCAGACTTGGAGTTTGCTGACTTTCTGTAGGTGAGGAAATTGTGCATCAACTGCCGTTTAAAAGGCTGCTTCTGTCTTCCAGCCTGCATCAGCCAGAGGAACAGGGATCCAGGTCATCCACAAATGGAGTCAGCTGCCTCGCAAGAGGCCGCTGCTTGTGCAGAAGTAAGCATCACAGAGCCGACGGGTCCGATTTCCTCTGTAAAACACAACAGTTGTATAAGGAAACTTTTCTCTCCTGCAGATACCTTCACAAGCCCTACCTCATTGGCGGAAACAAGTTCGACTTACGGATCTACGTCTATGTGACGTGCTACGACCCGCTCCGTGTTTACGTGTTTTCCGATGGACTCGTCCGCTTTGCCAGCTGCAAGTGAGAATGATGGACATGCTGTGGCTTAACGGGGGGCTGGGACTGGTGCACACTGATGTGATGCTCTGTTTTTACTGCAGGTATTCGTCTTCCATGAAGACTCTGAACAACAAGTTCATGCATCTGACCAACTACAGCGTGAACAAGAAAAACTCTGAGTACCAGACCAACAGTGACGACAAAGCCTGCCAAGGACACAAATGGTTAGTCTACGACTAAACTAGGAGTTTTTTTGTTTTTTCAACCAAGTGTCACAATAACAATGACTAAAAACATATTATTCTTAAAATACCAACTTTTGATTTCAATCAGCTCCTCTGGGAGGTAACCTTAATTTAAAGGACAACAAAATGCTTTTAAAACATGTTTCACAATGAAAATCTACATGGTACAATTTTTTTTATTTTTTTTGCCCATTTTGGGCCGATTCTCCAGTCATGCAAGAATTTTTCAATCGGGCCGACTTTCAGCCTGATGGTGTGTCGTGTAGTGCACAGGGGGTAACGAGGGTCGATCAGCCTCTAACAACCACCTCCCCATCAGGAATCGTAAGGTCGGGAGAAAATCAAACATTCAGTCGGGCGTCATAAGGTGGTCGTGTGCAAATTGCTCAGTGCACAAACAAGTATTCTTCTTCTTTTTAGACGAAAACATAGAATCCTACAGAATCCTTTCCCCCCAGCTGGGATACAAGGCTTCCTGTTTGCAGGGCGGGTCACTCACTACTTGAGCTAGGCAGCTGCTTAAAAGTTCAGAACTCCTCTGTGTTTAACGCTCGGATGCCCCAAATGTACGATTTCTTCTTTTTTTTTTTTTTTATCATAAGCAGCTTGTGATGAATGCTGTTTTCTGTGGGTAAACAAACAGCCATCAGGCTAAGGAACATGTGTTGCTGGTAGAATTGGAACCTATATGGGGAGACCCCAATGGATTTCTAGTCCATCGCCGTAACCTCTCTACCACAACAACCTGAGATCATATACAATTCGCATTTATTTGGAATCGGAATTGAGCGTTAATGCCTTCAGTGTAAATGTAGCCTAAGATACTGTGAGCTGTATAAGGAGTGGATTGGTGAAAAAAAAAACAGATTTTCTTTAAATTAAATCCTCAATGAACAGAAAACAAATTAATTGATTACATTTATTCGTCCATCCCTAGGCTCTATGGCTATAAGCTTCCCAATATGTCAGCCTATAGCTGGCTGTTATAGAGCAAATGCTGCATCCCAATAATCCTAAAAGGTTGTGAAATGATTTTCTCTGCCCTCGATTCCCACATTGGACCTGTTTTTCAGTAGTAAAGATGTTAAAGCACAGATATTATGATGGAGAATAGTGAGAATGTTCTTTTCTATATTCTGTCCACAATATTCTGCAATATTTTTCCTGTTTCATGTTTTCCTGACCTATTGTGGCCCTACTGTTCAGCAGAAAGCAGTTTTTCCCTGTTGGAAATGTTAAAGACGAACATGCTTGTTGTTTGTCTTTTCAGGGCCCTGAAGGCTTTGTGGCACTACCTCGACTCTAAAGGAATCGACACCAACCTGATATGGGAGAAGATTAAGGACATTGTGATCAAAACAATCATCGCGTAAGTTTCCAGTTACGGAGCGTCTCCACGGCTACCAGGGCTTCAGTGACCGCTCTGTGGTGCGATGCTAGTTACAGCCTTCAGGTTGAGAAATAATGATGCCTTTGAAGCGCATCAGCCCTAATGTGCTGTCAGCAGGTTTGCTTGCTGGCGGTGGCTTTTTAACAACCGTTTTTCTTCTGGCTGCAGTCTGGCCTGCCCTTAATATGTTTGGTTATTGAATTCATAAACATGAGGATCAGGCTCACCGCTGCAAATGTTAATTTTGGGCTGCATTTAACGATTATTTTGCATCTTGATTAATCTGTCGATTATTCTTTTGATTTAATCAATTATTAATTGGATATCCAAAGCTTCATTAAAGAAGACTTTTTACTCAATTTAACCAGTTGAATCTAAAACCTTTCCACTTGAGGAGTTTTTTATAGAGCATATTGATAGATGCAAGAAAAAGAAAATGTTTCTACAATTTTGGTATTACTGCTCTGAGTTTCTTCGTCAGCTAAAAGCATGTTTTAGAGTCTCTGTAGTCCAGTTAATGATCTTATGAGTTAGATCTTAATGTCCACAAATAAAGACGGAAATAATATTGTTGGTGTTTAAAAAGGAATTGTAGGGGACTAGCCAAAGCCCCTTCAAGGAAAGTGGGGAAATTTTGAATGGTTACTACTGTAGTTTGCATATTAAGGAAGATATGAACTTAACATGGAGAATAGATTGAAATAAAAGAGGGAGCTTAGTGAGCAGAGACAAAACAAGATATTAGCTTAGCTCATGAAAAAACAAAAGACACCTGGTAGAAAGGCTGCAAAGGTCGTGGCTTTGGAAGCTAAACAGATGCTCAAAACTCAACAACTTTCCACGTGTTTGCTCCTCAGTTCTGAGCCGTACGTGAACAGCCTGATGAAGATGCACGTGAAAACGCCCTACAGCTGCCACGAGCTGTTTGGCTTTGACATCATGCTGGACGAGAACCTTAAACCCTGGATCCTGGAGGTCAACATATCACCCAGGTGACACACGGATCCACGCTGCCAGACGCGCGGCTTCCTGAGCTCATCTTTAACTCTACCTCCTTCTGTTCAGCCTCCACTCCAACTCGGCGCTGGACGTCTCTGTTAAAGGGCAGATGATCAGAGACCTTCTGAACCTGGCCGGCTTCAGGATTCCTCCAAAGGAAGAGGTGGGGTCGTCCTGCAGCAGTGCCTCTAGCTCCACCAGCAGGTGAGGATATGGTTCTACATTTCCTATTTTCTATTACAGTTCCTATTTCTTTTTATGCAACTCTTCTACAAACTTTGATAAAAATCCATGTTTCTGTTTCTAGTTTGAATGGAGGAAACAAAGAGAGGAGGAAACCCAAAACATCTTCTGATGAGAAAGTAAAACGTGCCTTTTACCTCCAACGTTATGCCAACCAGGTGAACAAACACTGCTGTAACCAGGGAGAGTCTATGGACTAATCATCATTTAAAGGAATAGTACACCCAAAACATGATTAGCCTTCATTTTCTACTCACCCCCATGCTGAACAACACTCTGGAGTACTTTTTTGATATCTCAAATGCATCTGGAGATCTGGGAGGCTTCTTGCTGTCTGCTGACATTCAAATAATGGAGGTCTATGGTGTCCGAGACAGAAAGGTCCATAAAAGTCCACAAAAAACGTGTCAATATTCCTCCATACTGCTCGTCCAATGTATTCCAAGTGTCCTGAGTGGGTAGCATCCAGAATTTACTCGAAACGAAGTCATTTAGAATGTTTTTAGAGCATAAACAGTAGTGTATAGGATTTCCTAAAAGCGCGTTCACGAGTCTACGGAAACCGCGGCAGACCAAACCAGATGAAAGTGCGCATTCAGCGTCTGCTCTGCCGATAATGCAAGCGTAGAAGAAGAAATGTGCTGTTTACCTGTGCAAAGAAAGAAACAACGAAAGAAAAATGTCTGAGGACTTCAGTGTTGAGGAAGAGCACGAGTTCTTTGCCGAGCTGAATGCACACTTTCATCCGGTTTGGTCTGCCGCGGTTTCCGTAGACTCGTGAACGCGCTTTTAGGAAATCCTATACACTACTGTTTATGCTCTAAAAACATTCTAAATTACTTCGTTTCGAGTAAATTCTGGATGCTACCCACTCAGGACACTTGGAATACATTGGACGAGCAGTATGGAGGAATATTGACACGTTTTTTGTGGACTTTTATGGACCTTTCTGCCTCGGGCGCCATAGACCTTTATTATTTGAATGTCAGCAGACAGCAAGAAGCCTCCCAGATCTCCAGATGCATTTGAGATATCAAAAAAGTACAGGTGCTGGTCATAAAATTAGAATATCATGAAAAAGTAGATTGATTTCAGTAATTCCATTTAAAAAGTGAAACTTGTATATTATATTCATACATTACATACAAACTCATATATTTCAGATGTTTATTTTGTTTAATTTTGATGATTACAAATGACAACAAATGAAAATCTCAAATTCATCATATCAGAAAATTAGAATATTACTGAAGACCAATAAAAACAAA